GGGAGTACATATTAATTTTTATTCTGCCCCCTCTGTTTAAAATGCATCCCCCACCTTTTTTCACCCTTAATAAACTACCCATCCTCAAAGCGCAGTTCCAATGCCACTGCCTCTTTGAAGTCTTTGCCATGGCAACGATGCCTGGAGCACGGCCTGAGCCAGGTGCCATGACAATTTATTTACAGGATTATCTCCACTCACCTTCCCCACACTGTGGGACAGGTATTATGGTCTCACGTGAGGAAACCAAGGTTTGTGGGAGGTAAAGAACTTGCCCAAAATTCCAGGAGAAGGAGGGGGTTAAGTCTGAGTTTGGTCAGCCTCACCTGACTCCTGAGCCCTCACTTTTGAACAGGGATCCTCCCAGAAATAAGTGACTGCTCCCTCTTTCAGGACTGGAGCTCTTTGCTGTAACTTTATTGGGAACTGATTTTTTTATTCTGCATTGTTTGTTCTTATTCTTAGTTGTTTCCATGCCTTTGGAATGAAAGTTTTTTAAGTGCAATGATGACATTTCAGAAATTTTGGATGCAACAGAGTTTAGCATCACACTCAGCACATGGTAGGTCCTCAAGAAATGTTAGTTGAGAGGCTGACTGGTAACCCTGCACTCCTCTGAGCCTCAGCCCGAAGAGAGGTGGGTCGCTGCTACACACTTCAAACATTTGATAACGTATGCAAGGCCCTCAGAACAATCCTGGGCTTGCTGTTCAGGACTCACAGCCACAGTGGAATGAAACCCCTAACTTGTCCCAAGTGGGAAGGATTAAAGGCATGTACACAATATTTGCTTTTAAGAAAACCTGCTCTATGGTTTCAAACTAGTCTAGGGTGCTGGTGTTGTATTTCCTAATGACCACTTGGTGTGGTCAAAAAGTGGAAATATAGAAAGATCACTTTCAAGACTGGCAGTTACTTCCATTCTAAGTTAAGAGTGGGACAAAATATGAGCACTGTGACACAGTCACTAGAATTTGTGTATGTTAGTCAGTTTCCCAGCACAGCAAACAAACTTGCCATGATTTACAATGAACATTGACTGTCTGGTCGTGTTACCTGAGGGCTGGGAGGACAGCTGCCCTGCTCCCAGCTGCAGGTGAGCCACAGGTCTGCTCTGCATCTTCTCACTCTGCAGCCCAGGCTGAAGCAGCAGCTGCACTGAGACAATCTGTTCTCAGGGCAGAGCAGAGAAATTTAACAGCTGGGTTCAACCGTACAATTACACTTAAGGCTCCAGCTTGAACATACGTTGATGAAAGCACTTTGCAGGGCCAAGCACAACAGTGGTGGCTCTGGGACATGTGCTCCCTCCAGGGGAGTTGGGAACAGTGAAGGTTGCGGTGGGAAAGGAGCATAAAACCGAGGTGAGAGGTGCAGAAGACATAACCTCAGTGGCGTGACATGATAGGGGCCAAGGGTCGGGACCAAGAATGGCCAATCCCTTCTCTTTGATTATCTAAGTCTTTGCCTGCAATTCCAACTTTGCAGCTATGACAGCTCCAGGAAAAGAAGCAAGTTGTAAAACTGCACAGAAGAGGGGGCCTGATTCTCTCACACACTTTGTGGGTAACTGTTAGTGTGACTTCTCCATCCCTGATGCACCTGCAGAGCCTACTTTATGGAACACAGCTGTGTAGGAGCAGTACAAAAGGGCATTTGCTATGGAAATTACCCTGCTCACAGCCCTTGGACACACAGATCACATACCCTTGTTTGATTACATTGGTTGGGAGATGTTTAGAGAAAAAATAATGGTCAGGTTCACACGAAAGAGGAAGGGTCTGTCTTGGAATTTAAAATCATGTTGTTTTGTGAAACAGGGAATTTAAAAATAAAAAATAATCTAAACAAGTACAAAAACACAAAGAAGTGATTCTGCTTGTTGAGCTATTTTGTGGTGGAATGCTCTAGATGAAGGTGAGCATTTCTCAGGCTGCAGACTATTGAATTAATGGTGCGGTCTGACTGCCACGTCCTCCTCTTCATATTTGGTCACAAAGTCATCACGCTCAGAAGAGGGACCTGGATTTCACATTTAAAGAGTTCCTTTAATTGGGGAGGCCATGAATTTATTTGAAGAAAAATTATTTCTTTATATTCACTAATCTGTGGTTGAAATTTAGCATTTCTTTCTGTTTCTAATGTAGGCAAAAAACCCACAATAATTTTGTCACTATCTCTGATTTCTGTCATCAGCACACATCAGTTTTTTGACTCACAGTATAGTTTTTGAAGATATCATGAGATGTCACTTATGCTCATCACTATTATGTAATTACAACAGTTGTTGAACATGGTGATTTAATACTTTTGTAAAGAAGCACTTATATGATTATATTACACAGTTGGCAATTTAAAAGGAAAATTGATAATTGAGTTGCAATATAATTGTATTCCTTTATAATTCTATGTGTTCTTTAAACTTTCTAACCAACTGAAAAGTGTTATTCTGAAACAAGTTCATGGTCATTACCAAAGAGCCAAAGCAGTTCATGGCAGAAAAAATTAAAACACTTGCTTTAATTCTTACTCAGAAAGATAGGGTGAGAAAAGATTATCATCCTAGAATGGTAAAGTATCACCATGGACATTCTACTCGTATTGCACGGCAATATTATTGAGCATAGGCCTAACCAGATTTTTTGGGTGCAACAGTTTTGCTTCTTGCATCCTATTGTCATATCACAGATGAGGAAGGAGCTGGGCATTGAGACCTGGGATCAGGAGCCTGACATGTTAACCACCAGCTCCTGCAGCCCTTTGAGGTGTCCACTGCCAGTGTGATTCCTGCTCCCCCTCCACCCTGGCTCATTGGTGATACGAACATTGGGCCATGACGCTCACGTTCTAGTGTTTTTGTGATTCACTGGAAGCTGAAGTCTGCTTGCTGCATTTAAAACGTCTTCCTACCCACAGGTTTATTAGCTGTTCAGTTTTCTCTAATATCCCAGAGACATAGTCGATAACTCAGGGCACTCAGGTAAAAAGAGAGTAAATGACCGAACATCTGTGTGCCTTGTCTGTAACAGGTTGATACTATCTGGGTCTCACAGTTTGTGGGCAGTAAGGGAGATGCTTAGATTTTCAGTAAATGTTGGTTTCTTCCCTTTCCATCCTTTCCTTCTCTCTACCATGGAACCTCTCTTGGTTAAAGCAGCCCTCCCCCTCTAACAGAAACGATCAGATGCGAGGGAAGTGGAATCATGTTCTGCTTCTGTGAAGGTGACCAATATGTGAATTCCACCCTGTGCAGTGGCTGAGTGTGCTTGTTTCCAGGATGGCGCCATGCCCAGTGCACTGGGAATGGGTGTGAGTTTATTTCCAGGAAGGAAAGAGGGAAATGTATTTTTAAAGTAATGACTGACTTATACGTTCCAAATTATATCTATTGCTATATCTAAGACAAAGTGTTCCTAGTGCCTTAATGTCTCAAAATTTTAATTTATAATTTTTTTGTAATTTAATTATCTCCTAATGAGTTTGAGCTAAATGGAAAAGAAAGAATATTTCCTTCCAAAGAAAATTAGGCATTAAAAATACATTAAAAATATTTTACAATGTATTTTTAAAATTATGAATAAAAATTGTCAGGATAAGTTATCTTTTTAGCAAGTAAAAATAAACATATGGAAAAAGTCCATTTCAGCCAAATTTCAACATATGGCTTTACTTCCTTATTTATTTATTGAGATTGATACATCTATATATTTATCTATAACTACATGTATATGTACATCTATACACCAGATTCCACAAAGTAATATGCCAAATGTTTTCCAAACAAGTATCAATCTGAAAAAAAAACCCTAAGTGGAAATAGAATGACTAGAGACCTGAGAAAAAGACTGAGGATAAAAGCGGAAGCAAGATGAGCATAAGCTGTGTCAGTACCTTTACTAGTAATAGTTCCTGAAACACATTTGACTCAATTCTGAGCAACTATGTGGCATAGCTACTTGTTTTTCAAAGGAAATCATGTTATCTCATAAAATCAAAAGATAGTAGTTCTAACTTGTGTGATTTTAAAAATAGGAGGAAAAATGAAATGGTGAGTTGTGGTCCACTATCACTTTTATTTTTATTATTTTTGGGTGGAAAATATTCAATATATTTTCAAGTTTCTATTGTAAGAGGAAAGGAAGAAAATACTCCTTCAAAAATATAACACTTCTAAAATAAAAATGACTCATCTCATTTAGTTGTATAAGTCATATTAGTATTTAATTTGTAGTCATTAACTACTTAAAGCATATTTATAAGCATATTGGAAAAGAGGCCTCAGATTTAAGTATAAGAGATGTGGTAAGAATATAAAATATATATATATAATAAATTAAAAATACTAATACATTCACTCAGTGATCATTGAAGTAGACAAACCTGGCATATATTGTCATTGGATTCCACGGAGACAGGGATCTTTGTGAAAAGTGTTCCAAACCCTTGAGTACAACTATGAAAAGTAAGGTGAAATTAGAATTCAAACAATACTTCCCATAGTTAGATTACATGCTACTTGAGCTTAAGGACACCTTAGAAAACATAGAGTACAAACCCCTCATTTTGAAAAGGAGGAAACTAGGTGATGGGGGAGGAAGTCAAAGACTGCTGAGGTAGTCCCACGGGGCCCTGCCGGGTGGTAAAACCAGGACGAGAACTCAGATATCCTGACTTCTGTGCTCTTTCTCCTCCACTTTCGTGTCTTAGCTGTCTCAAGGGGGCAATGAATGAAGGCCCAAATATTTTCATAAAGTTTTAACTTACCCAATAAATGCTTAGATGACTTCCCTCTCTCCTTAGTACATTCTGCTATAGAAACATTGAATGAACGGAGTGCTATATCTCTTTCCTATTTAAGAAGCTGATTTTCCCCCTCCACTTAAATCAGGCTGCCTGGAAACATGCCCATGAACTCATGACACCACACCACCCACTGGCACAGCACCACTTAGCTTTCCTGCAAAGGCCTCCCGTTCGCCTGAAGCCAGTTAAAGGAGTCATCATTCTTGGTACAAATCAATAGTGGGTGTCCGAGGTGAGAAGATCTCAGGACTGAAGATGAGTTTCAGAGCCTTCCTGAACCACCGGTAGGAGAAAACATAGATGATAGGGTTGCAGGCCGAGTTGAAGTAAGCAAGCCAGATTAAGATGTCAAAGACCAGAGGTGGCGTGATGAAGTTGAGGAGGCTGTCCACCAGTGTGTCGATGGTGAAGGGAAGCCAGCACAAGAGGTATATGCCCACTGCAATGCCCAAGGTCTTGGCAGCTTTTCTTTCACGCTTGGCAGCACTCCCCAAGCTTTTGTTGAAGGTGTTGATCTGCTGGGCCTGCCTGGCAGCAACCAGGAAGATCTTTACATACAAGCTGATCATGAGGAGGCAGGGGAAAAAAAACACAGGGAAGTTTAACCAGCCCCAGAACTTATTAAACAGCAGCTGACAACTGCCCACACAAGGCATCTCTTCCAGCCACTGGCTGAGCCCTCTCTCAACTACATCTGTATAGACAAAGAAAGCTGTGTAAGCTGCTGGCATCCCCCACCCTGCCACGATGTACCTGAGAGCCACCCTCACTGTGAACTTGGAGGGGTAGAGCAGAGGCTCACAGATGGCACAGTGGCGGTCAATGGAAATGAAACAGAGGTGAAAGATGGAGATGAGGCAGAAGAGGGTGTCCAAGTAGGTGTGCAGGCGGCAGAGGGAGTCTCCAAAGAACCAGCAGCTCTCTACCGAGCGAACGGTGCTTAGCGGCAGGACCAGCAGACCCAGCAGCATGTCAGCCAGGGCCAGAGAAAGCAGCAAGAGGTTGGTGGGAGTGTGAAGTGCTTTGAAGTAGGACACAGTGAACACCACAAACAAATTTCCTAGGACTGTAACAATTATGCCTGCTGCACAGGCCAGGTAGATGGTCAGCTGGAGACCCAGAGGATGGACAGTCCTGGGGCAAGACCCATTCACCTGGTAGCAGAATGCCAGTGGGCGGTCTCCAGCACCTTGGTTGAGGACAGCACTCATTTATGGTTCCTGCTCTTCCTTCCCTCTCTAAGATCAGGCCACCTGTCCACCTAAATAAGTAAGTAAATAAATAAATCTTTATCTGCCAAACAACTGGAAAATAAGATCTAGAGTGGAACTAAAGCGCAATTTGGAACCTAGTACAATTTCCCTGAGTACTAAATCAAACCCACCCTAAAAAAATCAAAAGCAGCACAGGATTCAAACTCCCATAAAAGTCATTTCTGCTAGCCCTGATTTGTCTGACTAGAACTTTTGAAACTAGTTACAACATTACCCTTAAGAAAAGAGAAGGCATATGTAAGCTAAATGTTTTCTCAAAGATAAAATAGCTGTTTCATAGTAGGTGTTACATGATTATTGTGAGGGTATCTTTTTCTATTTTGGTAAGTTACCTGTCGTTAGAAGTAAAATGATATTTAATGTTATGAGTCTGAACCAAGTGAAGAATTAATTCTTGTTAACAAATCATTACTTAGGTAATGAGAAACTTCTGGGCCCTCTCTTTAAGAATTAAATAAACTGACCAAAAATCAACAGATTAAGCTCTTAAATTACATTTCAGCTCTTCTCAAGGGAAAAATAATTCAGCATACAACTAATTGAAAGAGTGAAATTGCCTCATTGCAGTCTGGCATCCTTCACAATTTCTAAAGTTAAGACAGAGTAGTTATACATCTTAGGAGCAATAAGTGATATGAAAAAGTATTTCATCTATGTTAACACTAGTCTGTAAAAATTTTAAGCAAGTTCTAAAACATTGCATTTAGAGTTTCCAAGCTACTCACATAGGCAGGAATCAAAATCACTTATGGGAATAAGTTCTTTTTGTAGCAGGTAGACCTAGGTATGTAGAATGCTCTTCCATCTGCATAGATGACAGATTTTATACTCGAAATAGAAACTACTTCTCCATGTGGTATGTTATGAGAATAACCACTGGGTGGGTACCAAGGGACCTAGTTTACATGATTCACAGGTCTCAGTGGTTTGCTTCCTTCTTCATACAGCATCATCATTTATCCTGCCAACTAATTAAAGATGAAAATTAAACACAATGGATTTATAAAGCTTTTGTTTGATTTTTCAGTGTTCTCCCTTTTGGTTTAGGATTTCTTGTGTACATTTATCTCAACAATAAAAATAATTGAGAATAATTGATCATAAGTCCTTTGGTTTGTGAACACACATTGAATTTATCATGACACCTTTTTAAAACTCTGTTTTATACTGGCTAAAGAAATCACAGTAGACAAAACAGTTCACCTGGATGTAGAAGATTTAGACTGTTGTTCTGCCATCCTCTAGGTCATTTCTTATCCTCTCCCTCCCTGTGTCTCCCCACTGGTAAGAGCACCTACAGTTAGACTCCTGTGTCTGTACTTCACAAGAATATTACCAAGGAAAATAACAAAAATAGCATGCTCAATAGTATTCTGAACTCTCTGTTTCTTGGTACCAAACCTCCAGAAGTTGGGATGCCTCTTGGTGAAACCAATTCATAATACAAGTCAAACTAACATTGCAAAAATGACAGAATTCTAGATTATGTCTGTCAGAAAGTCCTGTAGGAGAAGCTGGGACAAGTCAAAACAAAGGAAAACAGTTGACATATACCTCCCCCTTTTCCACAAAACCCTGGCTAAATCCAGTGGTGATTGCTTAAAACACGCCTTGTACCAGGTCCATGTGCATGGAAATAGATTTCTGACTCCAGAATTAATCACACCAGGAAGGATCTTGCTTTATCACATACCATGACACACCTTAGGTTACAAGTCAGAAACCACATGCAATCAGCCAGCAAGCCCTATGGGGTTTAAACCTAATCTGACCAAGAATCTGTGAAAAATAGAGACAAATGTCTTACAATTGGAATAAGGCCTGAAGATAGAAACTCTCATAAAAGGTTTTTGGTTCTGGGATACCTTATTTCAAAGCTCATATGCCATATGTATAATCCCACTTCCATGGCTGGAAATGGTCCTTTACTAAACCTAATGACATATTCCTTTGGCCTAAAATGCAGACAGCCTCTCTAAACCCCAAGCCAGGCTACATTATTTTTCCTCCTCCACACTCCCTTAGCTTCCTGTAGTGTAATCAAGTGGCTATGATCTTTCACTGAGGCTACAATTTGAGTTTTATTCATCTCTGAGCCATGAACACTCAGAATAGCATTTTGCACATAGTAGATGCTCAATAAATATTTCTTGAATTGAGTAGCTTTTCATATGGAGAGCAAGGTGTTCATGGTATTCACCATCCTCCTGAGATAATGACTACCCAGTTTAACCTGGATGGATCCTGGAAAGAGGAGCATTAGATTAGGACTAACCACTTTCCCTTGGACTAGCTGGGGAAGAACGTGTGGAGCTGTTTTGAGAAACAATTGAGCTAATGTTCATGGACACCCCTTATAAATTATAGAAGTTCTTCATTAAGGTAAAAAATGATGACTTCAGTAGAAGTTTCCACCTGCTCATTCCTTTTTTTCTCTGTTTACCTAGCTCCTAGTGAGTAAAATAAATGCTGGTCTAAGTAAAGGACCATCACACACTTCAAAACATCAGTTCCTTGATATTGTTATGTATTTTATGTTATTTTTGACGGTCAAATGAAAAAAAAACTGACTATGTACTGAATAACTGACTGTCCTTCCTAGTCAGTCCCTCTGGTTTAGCTGTCCAAATGTCTTTGTTGAGTTTCCAAAGAGTACAGGAAGCTCATCACAAAAAAAGAAAATTGTAAAATGCTCCAGACCCTGTAAGGTCATCTGTTGCTCTATCAGGCCCTGGAAAGAGGTCTGACTTGGCCTGAGGCTTGAGGAACTCCTCCTGTTCCTTTCATTCTTCAAAAGGAAAGAGTACCCTAGCCTTTGAATGTTACCTTCTGGATTAGGGGCAGGGGAAATCTCCTTCTGAAGCATTAAATTACTGCAATCCAAATGGAATAAACCAAACTTCTGCCTAGCATTTTAAACCTCAATTCTGAGTTCAAATACTTTCCTGTGAAAACAATAATCTCATGGCATCTCAGGACCTAAATATGCTATAATTAAATGATCAAGTTATAATTACTGACCATGGGAAGCTATGGATGTTCAACAGAACAGGTAGACCAAGAGGGTATTGGGAATTGTTGCCTGAATAGAGATGTTTTTGAAGGTGTTTTGGAGTAATAAGTAGTTTTTCAATAGCAAGGCTAAATTTTTTAAAAAGCAAAATAGTTTATGAATGCCTTTAGGGTGTATGTATGTGAACATTATAAACCTTAGGATTGTATGTCCCACATAGAAGTGTGATACCATTGGCCGGATCAGAAAATGGATGGCGTTTAGCTAACCTTACATTCTGACATTATGATAAGAATTCGTATAATAAAACATACTTAACTTTGAAATTTGTTGTAATGGTAGCAAATTTTCTCTTTCTAATCTACCAGCGTCTTAGGGTTTTTGTTATTAAAAGCAACCTTACTATCTGCAAATACATGCAAACATTAATGAATGAATTGCTCCATCCACATGTAAACATTCTGAGTTTGTGTGTTCCATTAAATTTTTTTCCAATCTGTAAATACATAGGATAGTGAACAATATTTCTACATGACCAAACATTTCTCTGAAGCACTTGAACTATTAGCACATTAGGCAAAGGAAGGGAAAACCTAACTTCTATCCTCAGGAAGTTCACTGTATGAACTGAAAGCTTCTTTCTATATGTTGCGAACATTTCTGAGTTGGTGAGTGTTTCTCCATTATGTGCCTCTGCTGGCCCGGGGTTCAAGTTCCCAGTACAGCATTGTGCGCATATGGCCAAAGCCCATGAGAACAGGAATAAATTCAGTTCCATCTCTTCCTTGAAAATAGGCTCTTCCCTCCATCTTCCCTCCCAAGGAAAGAGGCCCCCCACTATCTAACACCCTTTCTCTGATAATGGTTTATTTCTGTGAATTTGGGTAACTCTCATTATCCTCCCAGTTTCTATATTTTAGTCATCCAGCGAATACGTCAGAGATGTTTGTGGGAAAGGCACCATGTCAGGCACTGTGGGACACCAACATAAATAGTATCAGGTTGCAGCCTTGCACGCAGAGAGCCCACAGGCTAGATGAGGAACTAACACACTGTGCACACCCAAGGCTGGTACAAAGCAGGAGTCAGAAGAGACAGGATGGGGGTGGTGAGGTGGGTATAGAAGGGAAATGATGGACATGTTTAGTTTGAGATCTTGAGGGAGCATAGGAAAAGATACTGATTATAAAAAAATCAAGAAACTCAAATGTGGAGAAATGGTAGGGATGTAGATAAATATATTTGAGAGAAATACATAGAGAGGTGGTCATTGAAGCTGTATATGTGAGACATGGCACTACTGAAGATGTGGACCAGATAAGTCTTTGTTGTGAGGGACAGTTCTGTGCATTGCAGTGAGTTTAGCAACATCCTTTACCTCTACCTCCTAGATGTCACTCCTACTCCCTCTCTGCTTGTGTCAACCAGAAATGTCTCCAAGGGGCAGGACTATCCCTGACTGAGAACCACTGGATTGGAGGACAGAGAGATGGTGGGAAGAATGAAAGAAGATTATAAAAATTATAGTTTGGTGAAATAAGTTTATGGGGTAAGAGAAGGAAGAGAAAGACAAAAAGACACAGAGAAGACACATTCATCGAAGCAATAAATGTTGTCCTAAATCACTGGGGCAAGAGAAAAAACTTCACTTTGTGACTGAACCTCAGCCTTGGTGAATAATTAGCATGTGTTCACACACCCAAAGAGATGTACACTGCCTGTACATGCAGGCCACTCGTGTATATACACAAAAATAATATATTGACAAAAAACACACTTCTAAACTCTTATTCATTCTTCTCATTTAATAAGACAGTTCAGTTTTATCAGAATATTGCAAACCTCACAGCAGCTCATTTTGAGAAGAGATTTAACTCAAAACCAATAAAATATGAAGTAAATACAACTGTCTGCTTCCTTCTCT